TGAACCTTTGAAGAAGTGCGTGGGACTCTTTGTGTTGCATTGAGCGCTGAGCAAGAGGGCTGTGTTCCAGGGTCGTTAGGATTCCTTGTTGGGCAGTGGCAGAGGAAGCGCAGAGCATGTGCACTTCTTCCAAAGATTATATTTAAATATTTACTGTGTGTAAAATATGTAAATTATAGGACTGGAAAGCCAGCGCCAAATGAAAGCTGTGGCCCCTCTGAATTATTTATGACTGGAGGGCCCCCAGAAGGAAGGGGCAGCTACTGGAAGGAAGGGGTTCAGGTATTGGCAGTAGCGGCTTCATACTTCTCAGATCCAGCGTGCAGCAGAACCTGGGAAGACTTATATTCCGGGAGCAAAAGCGCAGGAAGAGAGTGCAGGATGGCTGCCGTCGACAGGCTCCCTCTAAGGCCCGTTACGTGAAATGCATCAGCTTCTCCCCCTGCGGCCGGAGTTGAGGCTTTCGTTTCTGTGTTAGCATGTTGTTGGCAGCCACTGTGTCTCTCAGTGTAGTGGGAAGGTTTTCAGTGCCCTGTGTACTAATAGGTGATTTGATGGCAGAGGCACAGACCTGGGACTCTGGACGCATGGGTGCTGCCTATGTCAGGAACAGGCTACCGTTCCTCTCTGTTCCTGTTTCAGCTTCTGGAAAACAAGGGTGTGTCCAAGCTGGACCACTTCATGGGACTCCTTTTCCCTGGAGGAATCTATAATTGTGGGATGCTGCAAGCCGATTTACAAAGAAATGCATGCACATCGTACTAGTTTCTTTAACACAGAATTTTATCATCAGATTACTGAATGAGAAAATATATTATGAAAACATCCAGAATAGGGTCTGGCACATAGGGGAATTGCTAACCACAGGAGCAGTCAGTCATTTCATTGGTGAGATAGGGAACCAGATGTACTCTCACCTTCTAGATTAAAACCCTAAAAGGGCGACACCAATCCAGGATATTTGCGAAGTGGAGGGCAATAAATTCAAAACAGAGGAAAGAGGGTACAGAAAGCAAATAGTAGAGTACTGTTTTTGATCTTTCAGCCATGATTCTAACGATTTAAAGTAAGTAAGAAAACATATTTATACAACCTGATCAAAATAAAGATCCAACCATGGAGGTTTAAAATTTTATTATTGAACTTGCCATAAAAACGTTTGTAGCTTTTCACTGGAGAAAGAGCAGGGCAGGGCATTTGATCTCTAGCCCCTCTCCTTCCTGCTGTACAAATACATTCCTTGAAAAATCAGAAGTGTGTGCTGAAGGGAGGTGCGTGATACGCTTATGGGAAAATGGGTGGTGGTGCCTGCAGCCCAAGACTGGAATCCTAGCTACATCACAGGCTGCCAGACCTGGGAAGGTTTCTCAGATTCTGCACCTCAGATGCTGCTTCTGTAAATGGGCATAATAATACCAGTGCAACGGAGTTGCTCTATAAGAATTTATACAAATGACTTAATGTTCTGAACGACATACAGCATGTGACTATGGGTCGATTTTCACATACTTTGGGATACCAGCCCCTTCTCTCTGCTTACAAGTATGTAAGGACTCAGGACCTAAGAAGTGCCTCTCCCTTCCCTTTACACCTCTCAGTCCTTCTGCAAGAAGGTGTTTGGAAATTAACATCACCATCCAGCAGACATGAAAAAGGAGAGTGGGTGGGCAAGGAAGTCTAAGGAAAAGGTGAAATGTGCTGCAGTTAGAGAGTATGGAAGCATGATAACAGTCAGGCTTTTCAAGTGGGAATATTGGGAGAATAGGATAACAGGAGAGTTTTGAACTTTATTGTAAAGGGCATCCATGTCCAGATAGAGAATATGGACTCTATTTTTCTTTCTATTTCTTTTTGGGAATTCTCGAAGGCTGCTGGAGAGAGGATCGATGTTATTGGAGAGAGGCAAACCGAGAGGTGATGCAGTCAGGATGGTCCAGAGAAGGAATGCGATGTGTGTGCATGAGGCATGGCCATGTGGCATGGAGGTGAAATGGAAGTGACAGAACTTGACAACGTCTTGGCTATGTGGGGTGAGGAAGAGGGGAGACGAGGATTCATAATTTTTTTTTTTTTTTTTAAGATTTTATTTATTCAGTTTTTCCCCCCAAAGCCCCAGTAGATAGTTGTACGTCATAGGTTCACATCCTTCTAGTTGCTGTACGTGGGACTCGGCCTCGCGTTGGACGGAGAAGTGGTGCCTCAGGGTGCTCCCGGGATCCGAACCCGGGCCGCCAGCATCAGAGCGCGCGCACTTAACCGCCAAGCCACGGGGCCGGCCCAGGATTCATAATTTTTGAGACTGCTGACTGGGAGGATGATGGAGACATTAATGGTAGTGGATAAGTTGAGGGAGGAGTACATTGGCAGGCTGAGGATGGGTTTTGTTTTGGATTTAACACACCCACAGGGCACATGGGTGCAGATGTATAGGAAATATCTTATCATAGTCATGGAGGCTCGAGAGGACCCAAGGATCATGTGAGGATACAGGGAGAAGAGAGCCCAGAGTAGGACTCCTGGCCATGCCTGTAGATGTTCTAGATGAGGAGAAGACTCCAGCTATGGAGGGTGTTCTGACGGCACTAATCGTCTGGAGTGAACACAGACCCCACAAGTCAGTGCCTTTACTTCAGACACCAGCTACACTCCCAGAGTCCCAGGTCACCCTCACTTTTGACCAGCTGGCTATAAATTTGAGGGTTCCCATGACCCCGTCAGTTTCGATAATTCCCTAGAATGGCTTACAGAACTCAGGAAAGCACTATGCTTGCAATTGCAGTTTTATTATAAAGGATGCAAATCAGGAGGACCGGCCTAAAGAAGGAACTCATAAGGCGAGGTCTGGGAGGTACGCAGACTTCCATGCTCTCTTCTTGTGGAATCCGAGTGTGTCATCCTCCCAGCACATCACAGCAATGTGTTCACCAGCCGGGAAGCTCCACCAAGCCTCAAGTCCCAGAGTTTTCCTTGGCGTTTCATTACATAGGCATGGTGGAGAAATCACTGGCTGAATGACTCAACTCAGTCTCCAGCCCTCTTTCCTCACAGAGGTCAGGCTGGCCCAAATTTCAACTCTCTTATTATGTGCTTTTTAATATTTTTTGAACCTGCCTCCTTGGACCAACTTCTCCCTCCAAAACATTGCGGACTGAATCCATTTCCTGTGCTCCATGACAATTCTTTAGCTGTCTGAAGACATTTTCATGCTGCCTCTTGCTCCATGGGTGTGTTTGTGTATTTTCAGGTTAAACGATTCCAATATTCTCCTGTGTCCTTAAAATAATATAATTTCCAAATCCTCACTCAGCTAACCACGTTTCTCTGGATGCTTTCTAATCTAGAATGCTCTTATTCATATGCGCAGCCTGGAGCAGCACATAGCATTGCAAATATGGTCCCACCATCTCCAGCACCCAGTGGGACACTTGCTACGATGGGCAGGATCCCATACTCTTATAAGCACTGTTTAAAGTCCATGAGCTTCTGTACAACCTCCTGACAAGGTTGGCTGTTGCTGGGCTGCTCACCATATGCAAGGCTGCCTGTGAGTCAGCACTTGAGCTAGAACGGATGGGAGCTGGCAGATACTGTATGGAGGTGGGTAGAAGTCAAGTTCAGGGAAAGAAAGACAGAAAAGGGAAAAACAGGTGGGTGTTATGGGTCCTGACAGGCAAGGGGTCAAGACCATGCAATTCAGTTCATGACGAATGTGGAAATCAAGTCCAGGATGTACGAAACCACACACAGGCAATCGGGACACACACTGGGAGCCTGGAATAGAACATTTGGACAATATTAACTTATAATCAAGGAAGTTGTTCTGGAAAACTGTATGGGAGACTTGCTGAACCAATAGCTCCCACTATTCTTTTGCTATGAAACAGTTTGCTTCAGTGTGTGGCTGAGCCCATGGTGAAAGAGAAAAAGGCTGGCAGAGCTGGAGAGGGGAGCAGGTGGCAAATGGACAGAAGTCAAGATGCCTGGTGGCAAAACTGTTGGGATTTTGGAGCAGTGTCGTCTTTTCATGCTCCGTGCCTTTTAATTTATTTATGTTTACTTATACCCCATGGTGTTTCTGTAAAGACTTAATGTGCCCTCATAAGTGAATGCAAAATACAGACAATAGGCTAAATTAAGTGAGCCAAAACAAGAGGAAAAATGTAGGAGCGGCACTTGAAATGGAGCCAGGACATTGGCCTGCTGTGTCGGCCTCCACATTCAGGCTGCACGCTTAGCTCCAGGCATTTGGAACAACCAATCAGAAGAGGGAAGATTCATTAGTCTCACAGCTGACAATAAGATGAAACGCTGTTTGCCTGAAGTTCTGGAGTTCTTGATACAACACTGACTGGGATTGGCTGGGGCGGGAGAGCACACCGTGTGATGTCAGGAACAGCCTTGGTGATAAAATCCTTTAGTTGATAAGTTGATGGCAATTTCTCCATATTGGCTGCTGGCGTTATACTAATGCACAAGCCCCAAAAAGCAAACAAAGAAGAACAAAACAACTCCAAAAACAAAATTGAACCAATGAAATGGTTCAGTTTTCCATCTAGGCTGGGCTTGATCTGGTTGTGAATTTTTGAGTATTGCCCTGGTTTCCATCAAATAATCCCCTTTTCATCTTGTCATTTAGCCTTTCTGAGTCTGTTTCCTCACAGTAAAATATGGATAATATATTATGTAGGCCAGAGGGATGCTTATAAGGATTAGACAATAACATGTGGTAACATGTTGGCACAGCACCTGTCATGTAACACATGTTCAATACATGCTGGTTTTTTCTGACAACAGCAGCGACTACAAATATCCTGGCACAAACTGCCATTTGAATTGCTTGATGGGATTTGCCATTCTTGGGTGCTAATGGACCATGCCTGGGTGAATCTACGAGGAGATACCTTACAGGCACAGAGGGTCTGTGTGGTTTGGAGGTGGGCTGTCTGCTCACCGTGCAGGTAGAAGGCTTGCAGGCTCACTTTTCGATTTGTCTTTCGCAGGAATAACACTCTATAGCCATCCATATGGAGGGGCCTTGCTGAACGAGGACAAAATGTGAGTTTAAGGAATGCTGGGGGTGTGAGTGGGCAACTATGGAGCAAAATCTTTTGGCTACTTAGGGGTGGTTTTGATCCCTCTTCTGTGTTTTCCCTGAGTGATGCTGGGATATGTAGTCAGTGGCATAAAGCTCGGGCATTTCTTTGTAAAGTGTGAGGAAAAGGATTATTAAAAGAGGAAGCGCATTGATTGAGCTTCAGACAGAAGAGCATATCATGCAACTGTATTTCTAAGTAGAAATTATTCTAAGGAGATGATTTCCCTGAAGCTCAGGGGACCCCAGTTCTTCCAGACACTTTTGTGGGTTAAAATCTTAAAACATGGCATTCATATAAGTACACATAGTAATACCTCCTTGAAAATTTCTCGTGCAAGACTTTCCTCAAAGTTCAGATGGAGACATGAGTGGTGGTAAAGCCAGAGCTCTTTATGAACAGAATTAAGTGTCAGTCTTCATTGTCTTATAAAAGGTGAAATGCTTTTGCCTGTCTTCTCCTTTTTCCCATCTTCCTTTGCTATCATACAGTTGACAAACTTTTAGTTAAAAATGGATAATAAGTATTATTTATGTATTTCTTATGACCTACAAAACTGAGTTGCAGAACACAAATCTGCTTACTGGGCGTTCTCTCCTCAAGTTGTTAGCATGGCAAGAAGCACGCCCTGCAGTTTGTCCTCATGTTCATATACTGATTTGCAGCTTCCACCTTCAGCAGCGTCTCTCACCTGCCCAGAATTCTAGGTATAGGCACATTCATGTCTATTATAAAGCAAGGTGGGATGGATGGGAATGTGTGGACTGTTCGTGATGAGTCTTTTCATCACGTTGGCCATCTGAAATACTGCCTGTGCACTGAGTGTTCCTAAAGAGGGGACTGTGATTGACTTGAGAGATATAGGGTATTAGTGCTCCAGCTCAAAAATGACCAAGAAAGTGTATAGTGTCTATTATTACAAAAATACCTGAATCTATCACAGGCTATTTTTGCTATTGTGAGAGACTAAATTCAGAGATGGGCCAGTGATGTGTGGAGCTATAGCTAATACCCACCCATCTGCCTCGCACAGGGGTTGCTGTCTAGCGAGTGGTCCCAACGTGGGCAAAGGCCACAGCTCACCATGGATGCCACTCTGCTGATGTCTTTTGTCTTGATTGGGAGTCAAACTCAGTGGTCAAGAGTCGACTTCAGACAGGCAGACTCTGAAATGTCCCTCAATTTTGCCCTCCTCACTTATGTCTTCTATACAGAAATCCATGTCTCAAAAGGCTGTTGAGGGGATTTAATGAGAATCCAGGCCCTCGGCCAATATGCCTTGCTGATCATAAGTTCTTAATTCATGATTTTCACTGCTGTATCCTCATCAATGATTGTTACTAACAGAAAGAAGACTTGTGTTCTTTGTCTAATGTCTGACGAGCTGTGTGTTTTGCCTACAGCCTGGAGAGCATCCGTCAGTGTGGTGTTGCCCTCTGCATTGTGCTGGGATTCTCTATCCTGTCTGCATCAATCGGGAGCTCCGTAGTGAGGGACAGGGTGACTGGAGCCAAGAGGTTGCAGCACATATGTGGCCTGGGCTACAGAACATACTGGTTCACTAACTTCCTGTATGACATGGTAGGATTTGGGAATGATGTTCCCTGTGCCTCCACATTGGTAATCTCTTTATGTGTGTGCATGTGTGTGTGTGTGTGTGTGTGTATGTGTGTGTATGTGTGTAGAAGAGGCTGGCCACCTCTATCTACAAAAGAAAGGATCATTTTATTGGTAAGCGTGTTTCAGGTTAAGTCTCCTTGACTTATCACCATCAGGCACTTGTAATTGCTTCGTAAGAGGGAGGACTGACAAGCCACAGGCTGGAGATCTGGGAAATTAGGGACCTCCACAGAAATGCAAAGATTTTTATCTGGAAGATGAGGAAATAATGGCCTTCAATATGCTCTTTTCAAGGAGCTGGAAGGTGAAGGAGAAAAATCATTAGAAGTGATCTGTCACCTGCGCCCACTACCAGCTCCAGTGTGACCAGAGCCCCTAATGTGTATAGCAGTCTTGGCATGTCCTGTATGTGGTCAACTCTCCAGTGGAAGCCTTCCAGGTCACTGTCTTTGTCCTTAAGAGGACAAGAATAATGCGGTATTATTCATTCCCTAGAGTTCAAGACACTTAACTGGAATCAAAAAACACATCTTCAGGTCAATGGCTACTTTCATTGTCGCGTAGAATTGTCCTTTATAGGAAAGTGATATCCTTGTTCTCATGATTGCGGCTCACCCTATGTCATGGAATATCTTACTTCAGTCAACAGAAGGCGGGAAGAACCTGACATTTACCAGGCACCTGCCAAATGCCAGATGCCACACTAGCTGCACAGAATCTGGTGTATTAACACATTGTTTTCATGTAATGTCTAGTCCTTTGACTTGACTTAGAATTTAGCTGATTTATTTCCTTTTAAACATGTAACAATTTACTTTTTACAATTTACATGGGTCACACCTAAGTGACTTCAACCTTTTAGGAGATCATTAGTGTTGTCAGAGTTTCCCCCAAACCTGCCTAGCGAGAGAAATCACCTGGGGCTCTGAGGAACAGTGACGTTTCCCTGGGCCTGTCCTTCATTCATGATTCTATTCTGTAGGTCTGGTGGGACTTAGAATCTGCATTTCAGTCAGCACCCAAGGAGATTTATGAATGTCAGCCAAGAAAGACTGAGAAATGCTGTCCTCAACCCCTTCATCTTTCCTGAAGGATACTCTTGAAGCAAGAGAGAGGAAATGACTGTCCAAGGTCATGTGTCCAGTCAGTGCAGAGCCAGCCTTTGAGTCCTGGTTCAGTTCTGTTCCCAGAGCTGTACACTCGTGCTGGCTGCTCCACTCTGCCATACTTTCCAATCAGTGATGTGCAATGACCACAGCCTTCCCAGAGAAAATGCAAGAGGGTGCCCCAAGAGAGAATAAGAACTTGCAAAGGAGAGCCATGTTTCCAGGAAACCAGGGAGATTCAAAGTTTCCAAATCCCCGAATCTCCGCCCTTTTTTGCATTCCTTGGTTTATTACCCCCTTATTACTCCCACTGCACGTGGCTCCTCTTTGCTCTGCAGATGTTTGCTGTGGGGTTTAGAGTGGGGAGGATTATTTTCATCTTGGTAGACTGTTTTCCACCTCACCCAATCATTCCCTGCCTAATCTATTCAATGGCTCATTTAACAGATATGTTTGAGGGCCTGCAGTGGGTCAAGGTGTGTCCAAGGTGCTGGGAATAAAGCCCTGAACAAGGCAGAGAAGATCTCTCCCCAAATGGAGTTTATGTTCTTATAGGAGGAATCAGAAAACAAACAAGTAAACAAATCAATACTCAAGATACAGTTGACCCGTGACTGGATTTATTGAGATAGTGAAAGAGGATAATGGGATGGAGGGTGATTTCAAATCAAGAGGTTAAAGCAGGACTCTGAGGAAGTGACATTTAAGCTGAGATCTGAAAAGTTAAGAAGGATTTAACCATGTGGATGGTGTTGAGGAAGAACTCTGCAGCCTGAGGCTCCAAAGCGAGAGGGAGCTGGTGTGTGAGAGCCCCCAGGGAGGGCCCTGTTGTCAGGCTGTGGGGAACACTGCAAGGCCGATGGGTAGGGAGGCAGGGAGTTCCTCGAAGGTGGTTATAAGGCAGGGCAAGGGATCTGTCCTTGGTTCTAAATGTGGGAAGAAGCCATGTTTCATGGAAAGTGTCTAGATTCCTAGACGTTTCTGAAAGGAGATGGGTATGGGTGGCTGTGTTAGTTTGCTTGGGACACTGCAGCAAAATACCACAGACGGGGTGGCTTAAACAACAGAAATTTATTTTCTCAGTTCTAGAGACTGTAAGTTCGAGATCGAGGTGTCACAGAGTTGGTTTCTCCTGAGGCCTTTCTCTTTAGTGTAGACGGCCGTCTTCTCCCTGTGTCCTCACATGGTCTTCACTCTGCAAGTCTGCGTCCTGATCTCCTCATCTTATAAGGACACCAGCCAGATTGGATCAGGGTCCACCCTAATGGCCTCATTTTACCTTAATCACCTCTTTAAAGTTCCTATCTCCAAATATGGTCACATTCTGAGTTCCTGGGGTATCAATATATGAATTTTGGGGGACACGATTCAGCCCCAAACGGTGATTCTCCAAGGCTAACTCCACTGCTACAAAACTTGTGATGTGCAAAATAGGAAATATACTTAAGTAGAAGGTGAAATGAAAGCTTCACGATAAGGAGATAATGATAAATATGCCCATCTGATGTAACAAGTCCCTCTTTGTCTTTTTACTTACTCAGCTCTTTTACTTGGTTTCCGTCTGCCTGTGCGTCACCGTTATTGTCGCCTTCCAGTTAACGGCTTTTACTTTCCGTGAGAACTTGGCAGCTGCGGCCCTCCTGCTGGCACTTTTCGGGTATGTGATGAGAAACGCTGCTGCAGAATTATGGTTTGTTTTCTGAGAGAGAAAACGCCCGGGATGGCTTTGAACCTGCTGTCTGCTTCATGATTTTCTCTCTTTTCAAGCAATTACATTGCTTCTACAAGGGACACTGAGCAAACAAGCCAGAGCAAGATGATGAACGCCCGTGGAGGGGGCGGGTTGACACAGCTGTAATGGAGATGGCATTGGCCCTGTCTCAGACGGGCCCTCAAGCTGTTTGACAAACTTGTGAGGTTGGAAATGGATTCTCTGTTATTCTCGCTTCAACATTAATCTGGAGCTCCAACACGTAATCCAGTTAGCTCTAAAATTGCCTTTGAGGAGATTCTCTCATGAAGCCCTATGTCTGGCATATTTTCCCTCTCCTGTGATATTAGTAGTTTGGAAATGTTTTGTCTAACTTATATCACTTGTTCTCAGAGGAAAAATAGCAAAAGCAGAAAAGTCATTTTATAAATTTCTCATTTATACACGCTAATCAGGATCATTGCTAGTGGTCCCCAAATTATACCTACTTGGTATCAGGAATATATAGTTGTGGGTCTTCTTATATGCTGCGCCTCTGTCTATATCCAGGCTAAGTATGTGAGAGATGCTTGCTAATAGTGGGGACAATAATTAACATACTAATTTATTATAATTCAAGGTTAATAATTTTTTTAAACAAAGCATTCTGCTTTATTTAAGCCAAGATTACAGGTAAAATTATTTTTACACAGATCACAGTTATATCAGTGACCCAAAACATCAAATTAGGGTACAGAGTTTAACTTAAACAAGTATATGTCATTATTAGAGGACTAGATATACGATAGGGGACAGAGAAAGACAGACAAACAAACCTTTCTGGAAATATTGATATTGCTACTCACTAATTCTGGCCTTGGAAATATTAATCACTCTCTCTAAACCTCAGTTTCTTCCCTGTAGAGCTCCAATTCTGGTGCTGTGAAGATTAAATTAGGTAGTTCATATAAACCTCACAAACAGTGACTGGCAAAAGTTCCCATTTAATTAATTTTAGCCATATTGTTACTATTAGAATTGTTTTAGTGTTTACAGGATATTATGTTTTAAGTTATAAAAAATGCTTATGGCAGACACATGCTCATTTTATTCAATCCGAAATTTATGTTCTTGGACGTAAAGATCTATATTGGTGATTCCTAGTGCTAAAGAAATGGTTTGATTTCAGTTTATTGATCTAGTTAGTGTTGTCATGGTGCCTTGGAGTGTGATTAAATAGACTTTGCTATAAATTATTTTTGAATTTAGGAGAGCAGATTTCATTAAGTTTAAAGTAAGGTAAAACTTAGACAAAAGCAAGTGGTTAGAAACCCCTAAGAAACACGTTTTTAGTCTCCATTCACCTTGTTTTGCTTGTGCGCCCCTTTAAGAGTCTGAATTAAGCTAAGAATTCTCTTCACGTGCATAAAGACAGGATTTTTCAAGGAATTTCTGGAGATTCACAGATTTCTTGAAGTACATTCATAGGCCAATAGGGGTGACGCAACTCAAGTGAAGAATTCTTAGGTGAGAGGGACTGAAAGGACCTGAAAAGATGACACAGACAGTGTTGGGGATCAGGCTAATTCTAGTGAAGAAGAGCCAAAGGGAGGCTGGCTAGAATCACAGGGTGACATCAGAGGGGCTGAGGATTAGTCCAGATTTAAACAGTAGTTCCTCCTTCATTGGATCCCAACCATGCACACAACTCTGGGACGGAGATCCTATAAAAGGAGGAGTGAGGCTCTGTGGGGTGCCACCGACTCCTAACCACCCCAGTGGACAAGAGGTCAGCTCACCCCTCTTGTCCCCACAAAGACCTGGAGGTGTAGGGGTCCAAGGACAATCTCAGGAGGGCCGAGTCCCGGAATGAGCTGAAACCTAAGAACATGGCCAGGCATTAACCTGGCTGTTTAATGGTTTGGAATCTGAAGATTTTAGGTCTTGGGTAAATGAATAGAGTCTCATAAGAGATAACAGAAAAGAATACCCAGTAAGAATTTTTTTTCTCGAGATCTCTCTCTAGCAAGGAAATTTGATATTTAAGCTGGAAAAGGGGGAGAATTAGCATCAAAAAGAGGAAAATAACGCCTAAAAATGTCAGAAAGAAAAGAGAACCTAACATATAAAAAATCAAAACCTTAGTAACGTATTTAGTGCTAAAGGATTGTGAAGATGAGGTGACAAATCTTGTTCTGAGTCTTAGAAAATTCATGCAATGTGGAGGAGGGGCCAATTTTCAAAGGAAGGAAAACCCCGTAAATTCTAGAATAATTGTGAACAGTATGCCAATATCCAGCAAATCCTAAAATAATGAAAGTGATATTATATTATATTTTAATAAAAGAGTAAAGATTGGTAAAAGCCACCATATGTTTCACTAAAAAATAATAATTATACTCTATAAGGAAATTTAATTTTTTTTTTTAAAAAATTAAAAAGAAACAAACAGGAAGACTGGAGCTGCCAATATGTTGATTTGAACCAAGTATTTGAAAGGTAACTAATGAATGTGTAGTAAAAAAAAGTGATGGATGCATAGCTGGTGAAAACCACACTCAAAGACTGTTCGTTAATGTAGCAATAGAGACTCTCCGGGGGCATCAATTCAGTCTATGTCTTTGCCTCTGATTCTTTTTTGCTTAAACAATGCTTTGATTTACTTGTCAAATATTTAAATGACATAATCCCATACGGAAACCTTATGTAATGAGTAATGAAGTACAGATTCTGAACAATCTCAAATAGAGCAGAGATTATAGTGACGTGTTAATTAGTCCCTCAAGTACAGATCAGGGTGTCCCTGCTGCCTAGCTGGACAGTGAAACTACCACATTCCCAGGTTCCATTCCTGGGTATGGACATGCTGGTCAAAGGAGGTGATGATCTTGCTGTGCCTTGTGCCAGGCCCACCACCTCAGATGCCGTGTGAGGTGCTGCTACCCAAACGCCCCTGACCCCCACATTCAGAATGTAACAGAGAGTTGGCTGGATACCATGTCGCATGAGGGACCAAGAAAGACCTGGCCTTCCGTAGCAGAGGCTTAGGAGGACCAAGATCGTTATCTTTCGCTGTTTGTAGGGCTGTCACATGGAAAAGAAAAGCAGCTTGTCATGTGTTGTTCCAGAATATAGAGTTTGGATCAGTAGTTTTTTTGTGTGTGTGTGTGTGAGGAAGATCGGCCCTGAGCTAACCTCTGCCAATACTCCTCTTTTTTTGCTGAGGAAGACTGGCCCTGGGCTAACATCCATGCCCATCCTCCTCTACTTTATATGGGATGCCGCCACAGCATGGCTCAACAAGCAGTGCATCGGTGCACACCCGGGATCGAACAGGCGAACCCCGGGCTGCCACAGTGGAGTGCACGCACGTAACCGCTTGCGCCACTGGGCTGGCCCATGGATCAGTAATTTTAAGAGATTTTTTTTTTTTTTTTTTTTTTTTTTTGTGAGGAGATCAGCCCTGTGCTAACATCCGCCAATCCTCCTCTTTTTTTGGTGAGGAAGACGGCCCTGGGCTAACATCCGTGCCCATCCTCCTCCACTTTATATGGGACGCCGCCACAGCATGGCCCGCCAAAGCAGTGCGTCGGTGCGCGCCCGGGATCCGAACCAGCGAACCCCGGGCCGCCGCAGCGGAGCGCACGCACCCAACCGCTTGCGCCACCGGGCTGGCCCCTAAGAGATTTTTTATTCACTCTAAGAAGGAATTTTACAGCAATTACAGCTACCCAAAATTTGACTGACAAATTGCTACTAATGCTTATATTTCAGTTATAAAAAATACTTTGAATACTATTGTTTCATCAGCTTGTCAAAGCAGCCACATGAGGGAGAGTAGCACCTAATTTATGCCCAGAAGAGACAGTAAAGGTGAGAGAGGGTGTGTGGTGTATGTCAGCCTGCAGGGCTGATTCCTCTCTGAAGTACTTTTTTTCAGACAGGGGTGTTGACTGTTTAAAGCACCAAAAGTCATAACCTACCTATTTGGTAATTAATTTAATTTAATTATTTAATGAAAATTTAATTATTTGGTACAGAAACTATTTAAGAACAATTGCTTTAAAGTTCTCACCTCCGTCTTGTGCGCTCTAAAATAATTTTCTTCATGCTCAAATTATGAGACAGATTGTTGTTGAGAGAATTTTTGGAAGCACCCTATGATTTTATGTATAATATTACATATCTATTATATTTTCTGAAATATGAGCATGTATCCTTTGACCCAGGGACACATTCTGATATCATAGATTTCATATGGGAAAGGAACTATACTAAAATGATAGCTGTCTCAAGGGCCTAGCATCTCTCACATCATTTTGAAGTCTCATATTTTCAGAGTTAGTTAACGTATTAAGAAAACTCCAGGCATTTATAAGGCACTGAGGTATTTCATGTGAAACCACTAAATCCCTCTAAGAAAATGGGGTCAAGTTTACCTTGAGTGGGCAGAGAGCCTGTGGGGATATACAGGGGACTTAAGAGAAAGGTTGTCATTTAAAGTAAGTGACTTCTTTGCTGATATTCAGAACCATAATTGAAGTACCAGTTTCCTTTAGTGAGGTACAGTGGTATCGGGACAGAGAGAAGCTGAGGAAAGTTGGCTGTGAATGAAACCTGGCTTGAGGATATGGAGAAAGAAAGAAGGAAGATGGATCTTTTCATTTTAGGAACATTGCGGGTGTTTTCTTAGATCTTGATGTCATCTGAAACTTGTGGGGGCTGCTTCTAGGGTGACACCCGTTACCACCCAGCTTTGGGGCCACAGAGAAATGCATCCCATTTTCAGCTGCTTCTCCCTCTCAGCTGTGGAGCCTCACTCAAGGTAGCTGAACCTTGTTCATCCCTTTGCCTTATCTGTAAAATGGGATCACAGCACGTGCCTTCCCTGTTGTTGGAGTGAGATGAGGATTCCAGAACACCGTGGAAGCACACACAGTGCCCACATGGAGTGTAAAGGATGCTTTCTTTTTCATCTTTATGCCTTCTTCTTATGTAGAGCTCTACAGCTTTCCATTCCTGACAGCTTTTAACCCTCAGTCTAACAATTAGGTATTATTCCTGCTTTACTGATGAGAATCAGAGCAAAGGAGTGAGCTCAGGCATGCCCTTTGGGGGATGGGATGGTGGGGACATCAGCTGACCTTCTCCAGATCACAGAGCTTCAAGTCCAGGCTCACACGGGACCCAGGTTTGACCTCCCTGTGCTCTTCTCATCATATTGTGGTATCCTCCATAGCCCCAGAAAATGTGCTTTGTCTTTGGAAAATACTGTGGGATTTCTTAAGTAAAAAGTGTTTCTGTCCACTAAGTGAGGAAAAACGAACAGCCCAATATAACATCGTATAATTCAGTCTCTATACAAATAAATGTTACAGGAAAATAAACATGATTTTTCACTTTACTTTTCAGATATGCGACTCTCCCATGGATGTATCTGATGTCCAGAATCTTTTCCAGTTCAGACGTAGCTTTCATCTCCTATGTCTCGGTGAACTTCATCTTTGGCCTCTGCACCATGCTGATGACCATCATGCCCCGTTTACTGGCCATCGTCTCCAAAGCTCAGGTTAGTGGTCTTCAGCATGGCCTCTCCGAGGGCACTAGTCAGAAGAGGAGGTTGACTAGGCCTATTCGCTTGCTTTGCCAACTGGAATTAAATGGAAATGTGCAAGTATTCACCATCTTTAATCTCCAGAAAGACAAATTGACTCTAATTAACTAAACCATCTGTGCCTTAAAAGAGCTATGCCCAGGTTGGCAACAACTGACAAAAGCTGTGCAGGTTCCGCTACTCCAGTTGTGAAGGCAGACCTACGAACATGTTCACTGCTGCATCCCTGTTTGTTGATGAATTACTGATTGATGGTTGGAAGAGTGAATACGTGCCTGAAATGTGTCCTGTTGAAGTGTCACACGAGTAGGGGTCAGACATTCCTCTCTTTGGGGTCAGATGCTACAGGGTCGTAGCTCTTCGGGGTCACATACTACAGGGTAGGATTGGCTATAGTGGCTAACTACACTCTCAGACCACAGCAGATCTAGATTATTGGGGTGATTCTCTTCCTGGGGTCCCTGGAACATATTTAGTTTTGCTACTTTCAAAGTGTTGGAGCAAAAGGCTGCCCTGAGAATGGATCTGTGGTTAAGGAACATTTCTCTTGGTGAAGGACATGCCTCTCTCAAAGAACCCTCTCTCCAACAGGCCATTTGCATCAGCAAGTCACGTTTTGAGTGTCATGCCCAGCAGGCAACTAGGTCAAGCTGCATCGAGTTCTGCTGACACATCCCTCTTGTCCCCATCCTGCTCCTTACACTGATCTCTTCCCTCTGAGGCCTGGCCCCCGGTCTCGGCAGCTTTACCTCATCTTTCAGCCTTCAGCCTTCCCTGCACCATCCATGGGAAGGGACTTAGAGTTTGCACTCTTCTCTGACACCTTATTTCAATCCATTTCTTTCTTGCTTTTTTTCCTCAGCTCTGTCCACACCGTTCTCCCCTGACTCCTTGCTGTCTGCATGGACTCCCGATTCCTCAGTAGTCCTGGGTGTTTGATTGACACATAGACTGAGAAAATAGCCTGGAAAAGGCCTGGCCCTCCCAGTTCTGGAGGATGTGCTGCTGGTCGTGTCTCAAATGAGTCAGAGACAGATGGCTGTTTAATTGGGACAGGCTCATGTTCTCATGACCAGACTTGAAGAGACTTAGTAGACTCTCCAGTGATGGCTCAGAACATTTTTTATTGTTATGCCTCATGTTGTTATGCCTCCTATTTGTATAGAAGTAGTGAAGTATGTGAATATTTATTATGCTTTCAATGAAGGAACAATCTATTTTGGTGACTTTTACAGATCTGTTAGTGACACTGATCTGTATTAATGTGTCTAGCCTTTTTGCAGAACAATTAGTTGGCTTAAGCTTAAGGAGAATGCTGAAGTTAGCAGAAGCGGTGTACGGTTTCCCTCCTCCTCCATCAGGTCTCATATGACATGGGCCCTGAGGGATGTCAGTCATGGTGAACTAAGGTGAGAAGGAAAACAGACTCAAGGTAGATAAGCCCTACGGTGAGAAACTCAACGCAGAGGTCTGCTCTAGGGGTCAGGATCACAGAAAGAAAAGGAAAAAGAGGACGGATCATCCAGACTCAAAGAGGAAACTAGCCAGGAACCTTCGCATCCCTGAGATTGAATCACTGAGGTTGGTTGTTCCCTCCAGTTATAAATAGCATTACTTCCTTGGAGAGAAATCAACAGGCAATAGGTTGTTTGCAAAAAAATGAGTCAAACTCAATTGTTAAATAATGAAAGACATTTTATTTCTTTTGCTAAGGTCTTTCTTTTCCTTAGGTCTTTATTTTGATATTTGCTTAAAAATCTCAATATTATAAATGAGTGATTTCAAATATTCATTTGTAAGTTATGGAGCAATATGTTCTTATAGAATCAATGAAAGAAACCAAGAAAGGTAACTAGATTCTCAGATCAGTCTTTTTTTTTTTTTTTTTTTTGTGAGGAAGATCAGCCCTGAGCTAACATCCGTGCTAATCCTCCTCCTTTTGCTGAGGAAGACTGGCTCTGAGCTAACATCTATTGCCAGTCCTCCTCCTTTTTTATTTCCCCAAAGCCCCAGTAGATAGTTGTATGTCATAGCTGCACATCCTTCTAGTTGCTGCACGTGGGACGCGGCCTCAGCGTGGCTGGGCAAGCGGTGCGTCGGTGCGCGCCCGGGATCCAAACCCGGGCCGCCAGCAGCGGAGCATGCGCACCCAATCGCTAAGCCACCGGGCCGGCCCTCAGATCAGTCTTAAAAGCCAGTATAACCAGTATTAAGCATTGTGTATACAAACTATAATGCTAGTAAGAGCAGTTTATTTTTTGCCAAGTCACAATTTATAAGCTGATTTCTATAGAAAATACATTTTGGGTTTTAACTCAACATGTGGAACATCTCTCTCTCCCATTGGTGAGGATTTGTCCGTGTTAGAATAGAGACAATTGTGAATTCCTTAAAGTCAGACCTAAAGTCATCATCATTAGTATGTCATTTCCTTAATTATCAGTTCCTGAGTTAAAAGTCTGTTTCTGTCTTATATCAAGTAACAGAAAATCCCTTCATGTGGTACATTGTTTGATCTAGGGACATAGTTTTGTGAAAAATGGGATTAATAAGCCTCTTTAGGACTGGTTGACATCTATAAAGAGTGATAGTCAAGATAAGAACTAAGGGAAAATTAAATGAAGCTTTCATGTTTTTCCTGTGTCTAAATGTGAAAGACAGTAAAGCACAATATAACAATAAATGCCCCTAAAAGTCTTTATTGAATTTTCTATTGCTCCCAAATCACATTATTTAAGATTGCACTTATACTAGTCATCTTATAAGTTTGCATTATAAGAGAAAACAGGGCATTATTTACTATGAGATGTATAGTTGACAATTTTGTAAGTTCTTTAATTTCATGATATGATACATACATTGTTGTGTATTATAATGTACACATTATGGTGATTTTGCTCCCTCATAAAATATTGTTTAGATCAATTATTGAGTTTGAACATAAGGAGAGAAAGACTGTAAAATGTGAGTGTAATTCTCTATTATATTTCCCTAGCTTTGCTTGGTAGTTACGGTGGTCTTTCTGGGTTAAAGACTGTAAAGTATCTACGCTGAGTCTAAAGGACAGCTAAACTGACCCACGTTTCAGTGAGTTGTCTCTAGAACCTGCGTTTTTTGGTGGCAAGACCTTATTCTTTGGACGAGAAAGACTGGGATCAAGTCCTGGCCCTACCACCATGTGCCTTGGACACATTAATCAGCCTCTTGAGACTGTTTCCTCATTAGAACTGAGTTTACTTCTCAGTACCTTGTACATTTATTGAGAGAACGAAATGAGGTAAAAATTCAATAAAACTGGAGGCATACAGTACTTTACAGAATGCATTTAGTGGACAGTGATTAACATTGTAATAATTTTAATCTCATTATAAAATAAAACTAGTATTCATAAAATACCAGATGCTAAAGACAATTAAATTTATAGATGCTGAATTTTTATTTATATTCAATTTAAAAATTATATTAAATATACAGCCTTTTTTGTTGTTTTTTCTGAAATTACATACTGTTTAATCTCTTTCTGTCTCCTTCCTTATTCATTCTGTCCTTGTAATACCACTTTATTCTAATATGTTTGATAATGACAAATACATATATTTAACATTTACTGAATGCTAAGTATGAACTAGGCATTTTGCATGTTATTTACATGCTCACAGTCACAGCTTTTAGGATTATCCACTCATTTAACCACTAATGTCACCTTGTGACTATTAATGTCACCCATATGTCTTAGTCAGCCTGGGCTGCTATAACAAAATACCATAGACTGGGTGCCCTAAACAGTAGACATTTATTTCTCACAGTTCTGGAGGCTGGAAGTCCAAGATCAAGGTGCTTGTAGATTCAGTTCTTGATGAGGCCTCTCCTCCTGGCTTGCAGATGGCTGCCTTCTTGATGTGTCCTCACTTGGCAGAGAGGAAAGTCTGATGTTTTTCCTGTTCATATAAGGGCACTAATCCTATTGTGGGGGTCCACTCTCAAGATCTCATCTAAACCTAATTACCTCCCAAAGTCCCCACCTCCAAACACTATCATGCTGGGGGTTGGGGCTTCAATATGTGAATTTGGGGGAAATGTAAACATTCAGTCCATAACATTCCACCTCTAGCCCCCCAAAATCCATGTCCTTTTCATGTGAAAAATACATTCATTCTATCTCAACAGCCCCTGAAGTCTTAAGTTGCTCTAGTATCAACTTTCAAGTCCAAAGTCTCATCTAAACGTCATTTAAATCAGGCGTAATTCATCCTGAGGCAAATTCCTCTCCACTTGTGAACATGTGAAACCAGATAAGTTCTGTGCTCCCAAAACACAATGGTGGGACAGGCATAGGATAGACATTTCCATTCCCAAAGGGAGAAATTGGAGGGAACAAAGGGGTGAGGGCTCCGAAGCAAGTCCAAAACCTAGCAAGGCATAACCATTAGATCTTAAGGCTGAGAATGAGCCTCTTTGGTTTGATGGCTGTCTGAGAGTGTCACTGAGTGACTGGCTAGGGAGGACCTGGGACACAAGGAGAAATGGAAGTCGTGCAGAGCTTTTAATTTGATTTCTTTTCTCTCTCTTTCACTGCGCAGAATTTACAGAACATCTATGATGTCCTCAAGTGGGTCTTTACTATTTTTCCTCAATTCTGCCTGGGTCAAGGACTGATAGAACTCTGTTATAATCAGATCAAATATGACCTGACCCACAACTTCGGCGTTGATTCCTACGTGAGTCCCTTTGAGATGAACTTCCTGGGCTGGATCTTTGTGCAATTGGCCTTACAAGGCACAGTTCTTCTCCTCTGGAGGATTCTGCTGCACTGGGATTTCCTGCAGCGGTTAAGGTAGGTCCTGCAGGCTCATCCTTGAATGGCACCAACTTTTGAATAAAGAGGGAGAGAAAACTCCATCCTGGAGGTTACAAGATAAGAAATGTGCCTGATCAGTTTTATACCTGGTTATAACGAGTTAAGATTTATTTTTCTTTTCTTCTTTTTTTGATTGATGTGAGTCACCACACCAGGAAGGAGAATGTCAAAAGATAAGCTGTCAGCCTGTGAGATAATCATTTCAATTATTTAATTGTCTCACTGAATTTTCCCCTTTGAAATTGCTCAATTTCCCTCTTACTCTGATTGTAGCCCCTAAGGTGAATTTGGTTGATACCATAACATAATTTATTTTTATGGCTAAATGGTGTTAACTCCTAGAAGCAGGAATATATGGAAATTCAGTGCTGATTACCACTTGCCCTTTGCCAGATCTCGTTGCTATTAATGCTGTGTTCTTATCCTTGTTAGGCAAGGATGAAAGTCAGTAGCACAAGGGATCTGTGTATATATACAGATATATACAGAGATATATAGTGGTCTAGAAGGTGTATGTGTGTGCATGTGTGTAGGCGTGCCCACAAGCACACACACATGTCCCTACTATTCTAAATAGGATTTAAGGTGGCTTTGCAAGGATATCTAAAATATTTTCAGATGACATATTTGAAATAGATAAGGAAAACGTGCTTTCCTGTGTAGGGTCCAAAATGGTGTGTCTCTCTCTCCATGACCCATGTGGCCTGAATCTGTTGACTTGCTCTTTCCAAGTGAGGGATCCTTTATGGAGGAATGACTAATCAGGACCATGTCACTGGAGAACCTACTAAAAATTATGAAGACACACTATTGATATTTTATCTTGATCCTCCTCTAGAATTTTTTCCTTTCAGTCCTTTCACGACATCTTTCCTTGGCGTATGGCGCTGAGTCCAACTCCCACAGAGGCACTTGTGTTCATGAGTGGGTGCCTAATTAGTTGTTAAAAAAGGGAGACATAGAGGAGGGACAGCTTATGCCACGTGATGCTGACGTCACTCCTCTGTAACCCCTTTAAATCTGCTCAAGTACAGAACCGTTTTAAATACAAATCTCAAGGCTCTTTTGAATTGGCCACAGTCACTCTGGAATCTGTAGATTTCCAGTATCTGACTGAGTCTAGAATAGAATTCCGAGTACCTTTCAAACATAATTGGTTCTATGATTGACCCTCACTGGTTTAATCTATTTTAAAACCTATAACATAGAATTCCCTTTGGCAGATTTCAGGGTGCTCTGCTCTATAGCATCAACAGATTTTTCTTTAAAGAGAAGACTTCCTGTATTATCTTTACTTTGTAGAGTGTAAGTATAAGTTAAACTATATTTTAGAATAATGTCTTTGTTATTCACAGTAAATAGTCAATATTTGTTGTTCTTTGTCAATGTGAAGTTTACAGAGTACAGAAATTTAATTTAATTTAGACACGAAGTGCCTACCACTCCCTTATGGATGACTGTTACAATGACTATCTGACCAAATTAATTTTTTTTTAAATCCAGATCTAACCACGACACTAATCATTGCCTAAAAGATAGAAGTCCAAGGTTCTTAGCTAGGTCCCTTCAAGTCGGGCACCTTGTGCTCAGTGGAGCTCTCTATGATTCTCCCTACACCCCATACATGCCATTTTGCCTCTGATCACCTGCCCAGTCTGGTCCTCTGCCATTACTGACTTCCCCCACTTCTAGCACCCTCCTCCTGTGTTCCCACTGCCTCCCAGGGTTGGCTTAATGCCTTCTCAGCATTTCCCTTATAGCCTGTCTTTCTCTATCAGGGCCATTAGTGTTGGCTTATAGTATTTCTATCTTACTCTCTGCTGCTTGACTTTAAGTTCCTTCACAAAGGAAATATTTTACACTTATCATAGTTGAATCTTGGATGAGAATAAGAAGAACCCGCCCTCTGCATCTGGGACACACAGATCCTGCGTTCCCCAACTAAGCAGTCTCCATGACCAGCACCTGATGCTGGGTGTGAGTGCCACGCAAGTGAGCCTCCTTCACTGCTGCCTTCCCTACCCTGCGCTGGCGGCTGTCCTGCAGTCCTGCTGCTGGCCTTTGGTTCTGTCAGAACCATTAGAACCTGAGCCCTGGCCGTATGCCAGTCAGGTTGCCTGGGTTTGGGAGAGTTCTTGCCTGTTCTCTCTCTGGTATGGAGCTGGACTTTGCTCTCTGTACCCTAGGCACTGTCTGGCTCAGAACAGTCACATGACCCAAGACAGCATTTCTCTTCTGATACTAGTTATGCTGAATCTCTGGAGAGTTCTGCTACACCTGGTGCCCATCCAGATTCTTCCTTTGTGGTATAGATGCCATTTTTTCTGGTTGTCAGTTGGAAGATGGCTAAGTGCCACATTTCTGAGTGCAGCTGGATGAACTGTATGTTGGATTGTTGTGAGGTGGCCAACAGAAGTTACCTCAATCAATTGTCCTCCATCCATAGAATGACTTGAGATTTAAACAAATATACACTCCTGTGCTGAGATCAGAACCTTGAGATCAGAAGCTCTGGGGATGAGGCCAATTTATAAAGCTTCGCGGGCGATTCTAACAAGGAAACGCTGAGAACTGCTGATCTGGGTAACTTGGGGATGGATCTTGGAAACCAGAAGGAATAAAGGTGGTACACTTTCCTATTAGAGTGAGAAAATACCTTTGGAAGGCCAGGACAGGCTGAAGAATCAAGGAGCACACTTTCAACTGGGAAAGGGGAAGATAACAGTCAAAAAGAAAAGTGTAAAATTCAATGAATTTTCCCAAATTGAACACACTTGTGTTACCTTCTCTCAGACTGAGCACTATCAGCATCTCAAAGCCCCCTCACAACCCTACTCCAGTCTGTAACCACGCTATAGTTAAGTGCTGTTCTTATGTTTATCTGCATTGATTCTTTTCTCATGCTTTTGAATGTTATATAAATGATATCAGGTAATATTTACTCCTGAGTATCCAGCTATATTTTCTCATCATATAGGTGTGTGACAGATAAGTTATATATTTGTTAAATGGTGATTTTAGGTACAGAAAAAATAATACAGAGAAGGACCTGGGGCCACGGGTGCTGGCAGTAGATATTTTATTTTATTTTTATTACCCTTTTATTTTAAAATAGCTTAAGCCTCACAAGAAATTGCAAAATTAGTACAGAGAGTTCCTATGTACTCTTCACCCAGCTTTTCCAAATGATACTATGATAATGTGACAATATATTACATTGACAAAACCAGGAAACTGATGTTCGTGTAACACTAACTCAGTGATCTGTACCCTTTTAATTATTAAAACGTGGGCATATTACAGTTTACAGGGGAAATTAAAATTTACTTGATAGTTAAAAAACACCAGAATGAAAATCATAGGGAAGATTGACAATTGGGAAGCTCAGATTTAGAGTAAATAAATTAGAGTTGAAAACTAAATTTGTATTCACCTGAAATAATTATTAAATATGCCATGCAAGGCACTGTGCAGAGTACTTGCTGTACAATCCTTTTGTACAATCCAACATATACTGTAATATTTGGGTGCTTTTATATACAATCTACTTTATTAATTGACTCATTTGCTAAAACTGCTTAGACAAGTTGAATCCTTATGATAATTTTGTGATAAATTATTTTTCCCTCTAGCACATAAATCTGACATGATTTTATTATTCATCAAATTGGGAAGTAGCTGTGGTTTGGTGTCTGTCCACTTCACTATCTTTTGGGAACATGTACATTTCCTTCACGTTAGAGGATGAACGTTGACTCTTGCTGGTCATCAGCATTCAGGATGGCAGAGCTTGGGTGCATGGACCAGAGCAGACACTGTGGTCTGAAGACCGTCTTCTGCTTTGACAGGTCTCTGCCCTTTCTCTCTCTAGACTCTTCTAGTTCCATTTCCCAGGTGTGAGTTAACTCTGAGTTTGTCTTCCCAGGGGTCACTCTGCCCTCCAAGGCACAGTCACATCTTGTAAGGACGTAGATGTTGAAAAAGAGCAACTGAGGGTGTTGAAAGGGAGAACGAATGGAGACATTCTTGTGTTATACAACCTCAGTAAAAGTTATCAAAGATTCTTCAAGAGGACCATCGCTGTGCAAGATATTAGTTTGGGCATACGAAGAGGAGAGGTAAAGAAGCTTCTAGTTGTACCCCTTTCTGTTGCAAACCTGTGTAACTCTAATTGTTATCTGCTTGTGTTATTCTCAGAATATCTGAAATCAGAGCTAAAAGCAGCCTTCAAATTCCAGGAATTTCTGCCAAATTACAAGAAGTAGAACCTGAGTAAGGAGTCTGTTGGCTCTTTCTCTAGTGAGAACTTTGCTGATTGATTGATGAGGTTTATACTGTTTCATTATTTTTAAGATTTCATGTGATTGAGGAGTTTTAATTATTGTTTGGACTTTGGGATGACTTTTTATTGAGTGCAAATATTTTATGAATCCAATTAATTAAGGAAACCACTTCTAACTCTTACTTGGACTTCAATACTCTTTAAGTGGCCAATTAAGCTCATCTAGTGAGATGCTGCTCTGGAAAGGTAAAAAGCATAGCAATAGCTCAGAATTTTTTTTCATGAATATGCCATTAATTCTAGTAGAAATGTTTAATCAGAACTGACAGAAGCCATGTAAATTGTTCCTGATTTGTGCTTAATGCATAAAGGGAAATCAGCTCTGGAAATGATTACCTTTAATTAAGTGTTAAAAATAAGAGAGCACCTTGCATTCATATTGTTCCAAGCTCCTGAGAAATTCCAAGTGGGTTATATCATTATCTGATTGGCATCCATGCTCTGCTGTGAGCAGAGAGCAGGCATTTCAAGTATGAGTATTCTGAGATAAAGAGAAGCCACGAGACCAATCTAAATTGATCCAGGAATATCCTTACACCCTGCACCGTGGTTGTGGTTGAATAGGACATTATGTTAAGGAAGGATTTTCTTGTAGTTGTTGTTTCCTACTCAACTCTAAGACTAGCTGTGCAACCTTCACCATCTTATTGAGCTATTGTTTTTACCCTTGCTTTAAAAATCAGCGTTAGTTTTGCCACTACCTATTCATGGTAGTTATAAGCTACAGGGTATGAGAAAAACTTGGAAAACTTCATCAGAGAGATGCTCCAGGCATATGAAATGATCCAAGATGCCACTTACATTTGGGTTCTATTTACTAGGCTTTTATGAGCAGCTCAATTTAATTCCCTGGATGTAAAGTGTCATGCAAGAGTCTGTGGAAGAGACAGAGATGGTTAAGATTTGTCCCTGTCCCTCTAGGAATTAATAGCTGGGTAGGAAATGAAAAATCATAAATATATACAGTGTTACATAATGGCATAAGGCAGGGGAAGGTTAAACGGTACACAGGTAGGTAGTATTGCCTTAGAGCTGTGAGTCCAGAGAGAGCAGCTGGGCAGGGAGGGATGGAAAGGTGGGAGGGCAGAGAGTGTGGGAAGAGCTCTATTAAAAACATAGGTTTGTATAAACCTAAGCCTAAGCCTTGAAGGGTAGATACAGTTTGGATAGGTTGATGGTGTTGTACCTTGGGCTGGCCAGCTCAGGTGTGGCCTGACAGGAGAGACATGTGACAAGATAGGCCTGAAACAAAATGGGCCCATATATCATGGTGGGAGAGATCCAGTTGAGGTGGAAAAAGCATGGATAGTGAAGCAGGCGGTATCCAGAGGTACAAAATGGGGTTCTCTGATAGTTAGGTAGACACGGCAACAGGAAATGCAGAAGCAGCCATTTTTCCAAGATTCCAGGAGCTGGGAAGCCAGCTTACATCAGTGCCTAGCCATCAGAAAACAGGTGTCTTGGAAGGAGATTGGTAAGAACCAGACAGACTCAGCCTCCAAGGTAGAATCTTTAGCTGAGAATAAATATACTGAGATACAAGATAGAGACTAGGTCTAGAAAAAAGCAGGAAGGCCATTTTTCACATGGAATATAAGACAGCATTGAACCAAAAAATAAATTGACTTGATGCTGAGTGTCAAAATATAGAACTAGAGGTCATCTTTTTAACTAATGTCAGGATTAGCCAAGAGTCTGAGTTAGAGAAAGAAAGAGAGAGAGAGAGAGAGAGAGAGAGAGAGACGGACGATGTGGAGAGTGGAGAATACTTGTAGAAAATACTTTAAACTATACGATGAAATCATGGCGACAATAATGATTATGATAATGTGACTTAAAAAATATACTCATCAAGGGGACATAGTTAGGAGCTTGTTGGGAGGGCTTGTTGGAAATCTCAGCATTATTGGTGGTAGTTGGCATTTACTTCTCATCCCCTTGAGTTTTCTGTACATGAATTTACTTGTCTGAATGAATGCTGAAATTGTTACACTACTCAAATTCCCTGGTAATTTGGAAAATACTTTATCATCTATGTAGTGCTTTATACAATGGTATGATTTTAAAAGTCTACAAATATCACAAACCAATGATATCAACTCAAATTTGGCTGAAAGCAAGTGCTGTTTCTGATATAATTTTAATTTCATTGTATAACTTGTTTTCTGTTTTTAGTGCTTTGGGCTTCTAGGAGTGAATGGAGCTGGGAAGAGTACCACATTCAAAATGCTGACTGGGGATGTCCCTCCCACCTCAGGACATGCTGTCATCAGGACTCCCACGGGGTAAAATTCAGATTTAATCATTTTTGCTGCCTATAGGGATAATAATCAAGGCCAGAGAACCCCCAGCATCCCCTCAGTCCAGTGGACTAAAAGTCTGGGGATGTCAATTTCCTCCAAATTGACCTTCCAATTACCACTCCTCAGAAGGGGGAAAAGAGCCTCCAAATGCGAATGAAATGAACTCATTTCTGGCCAAAGGCTAAAGGAGATGTTGGCAAAAAGCAGTCAAAGGCTGACCTCTTTCAGAGGCACCAGATGGGTTTGAGGTCTTCGGCTGTTCCCTGCGGCGTGTTGACTCAGGTGAGAGAAGGTGGCCAGCGGCTGGTTCTCCTTGCTTCGCTGTCGGAGACAGCTTCAAATGCCCTTACTGACATTAACATGAAGGTGGCCAGAAGGAGCAAGATGGTCTCCTTCCTTTTGACACACAGACCTCCTCTTTCAGGTAGTGTAGCAATTTTCTACCTGTTACTCCACATGCCATTCATGTGCATCCTAGTTTGGATGTTTCCATGTCCCATTTGATACCCCACACTTCTTATTTTCAATACTGTATTATATGGCCCTGGGCATATGTCTTTTTTTTTCTACTACAGCAAACTCTCTGTAACTTGATAATAGATTTCAGGTGTCTGTTGTTGTGCTTACATAAGGTAAACCACATGCCTTGCTGTACATTCTCTGAAGGTCACTATATAAATAGCTACCAATTTCTCAGTACCATATTTGATCTGATAGTCTGTCTACTGGAGATCATGAATCGTTCCTAAATAGACTGGGAAAATAATTTGCTTGAGATTTTTATGTATAGGTTCAAATATAGTGATTGAAAAAAATTGTTCAAAACTATCATAACCACCCATTAATTAGTTAATTCTTTGCATCAACAAGTATTTATTGTCCATCTATGATGTGCCAGGCACCAGGAGGACAAACATTTTTCACGTAATCCTAAAATCCAGTGTAAATATTTGCATGTCTCCTGCTAGTCTAATATAAACATACATACATATCTGTGTGTATATATCTAATGTTATCTACTATCTGTATGTGTGTGAAGTGTGGGTGATTAAATGTGGTGTTTATGTGAAGAGAAGAATATTTTAAAATCAGACAAGACTATAAGGATCACTGTGTATACTTCATTTACACTTATTCCATGAGCATTTCATAATCCTCTTCAATAATAGTTATTAAAAGGTTTAACTTTTTACAAGTGTGGTGGGTGTGAAATCTCATTGTTAGATCAATTTGCGCTTCCTTAATTACTCGTGAACTTTAGCACTTCCTTGATTACTCGTGAACTTGAGTGCTTTCCCATATTTATTTGTTACATAGGTTCCCTGTCATGTCCATTGTCCTTTTTTTCTATAAGGTTGTCTGTCTCTTTGTTACTCATTATATAAAAGTTCTTCATACAAACAGCTGGAAACTAATCCTTTGCATGTTTTGTATGTTTTAAGTATTATCTTTCAATAGTACCTTGTACTTTAACTTTGTTTTAAAAGTTTGTGTGTATAGAAGTTCTTGGTTTTGATGAAGTCAATTTATCGTTTTTTCTTCCTTTTTGAATCTTAAGAAATTCTTCTCTTTCTGAGGTCATAAAGCTATTCTCCGTATTTTCTTTTCAAAGGCTTATTTGTTACATTGTCTTTAATTTATATGGAGTTTACATTTGAATACATTGTCTAGTAGAAATACAATTTGATTTTTTTTCTAATCTAGAATTCCACTTTGCCTAATGCCATTTTCTCAACAAAGTATCTTTGTCCATAAATTGGAAGCACTTCTTCAATTATGTGCCAAGTTCTCAGATATGCTGGGGACTCAGCCTTAATTTCTCTTGCTTCGTGATGCATCCTAGTAAGTTGCACTGCCTGTCTTCCCAGTTCTTCATTTTCAGAATTGTTTGGACTATTCCAAAAATAATATTACATATTATTTTTAGGATCATTTTATCAACCTCTATAATAATGTCACAATATTTGAATTTTGAATGAGATTGCATCAAATTTATAATATAATTTGAGGAGATTTGACATAGTTATGATATTTTGTCTGTCTTATCCTTGACTATGGTATATACAAACATTTATTCAGACCATTTAAAAAGTAATTTAAGGCGCTGGCCCAGTGGCAGAGCGGTTAAGTGCGTGCACTCCGCTTCGGTGGCCCAGGGTTCACAGGTTCGGATCCCAGACACACACCAGTGCACCGCTTGTCAAGCCGTGCTGTGGCACTGTCCCACGTAAAGTAGAGGAGGATGGGCAAGGATGTTAGCCCAGGGCCAATCTTCCTCAGCAAAAAGAGGAGGATTGGCATTGGATGTTAACTTGTCTTCCTCAACAACAACAACAACAAAGTAATTTAATTATATTTTGCAATTTTCTTTATAGAGTCCTTCATATCTTTTTTAGATTTATTTATCCAGATTTTGTCTTCATCAGGAAGTGATTCATCTCTTAATTTCTTATTTTTGAATTTCTTCTTGTTAGATTGGCTATCCCATGGCTTGGGATTTTGCTAGCTGACCTTGTAAGTGAGTTTGTTTATGTGTTTGCCTTTGCTCTCTTGTTTTCTATGTGTCATCTTCCATCTGTCAGTTTTTTTTTTTTTTTTTTTTTTTTTGTGAAGAGGACCAGCCCTGAGCTAACATCCAATACCAATCCTCCTCTTTTTTGCTGAGGAAGACTGGCCCTGGGCTAACATCCGTGCCCATCTTCCTCTACTTTATATGGGACGCCGCCACAGCATGGCTTGACAAGCGGTGCGTTGGTGCGCGCCCGGGATCCGAACCCCGGGGCTGCCGCAGCGGAGCGCGTGCACCCAACCGCCTGCGCCACCGTGCCGGCCCCTCTGTCTGTCAGTTTTGTGAGTGCATCTGCAGTTTGTTCTCTAGATCTCCAGTCCAGAGCCAGGTCTTAGATTGACAGCTTTGGGTTCCCATCCTGCAGCCATATGGAGAATATTCCATTTCCAGTGACCAGATAGCTTGGTCTTGGCCCTGCACTGCTGACCCAACCTGGAAGATGAGCAACTTGAGAGTAGCCTAAGCTCCAGGCAGCTTCTCTCAGCCTCCTTTCGGGAGAGTTGGGGATCTTCTCTAGACCCAGGTATCACACACTGAACTTGATTTTGGTCCTTCTCCATCCAAACATCAGTGCTTTTGGTCCCATTACTTTGCAGGGGCCAAATTCCTAGCTGCTTTAGGTAATTCAGGTCCAGGACCCCCCAGGCAGTGGTTTGAGATCCTGTTTCCTGCATTCTCTTGTTCCTGATGCCCAGAGATGTTTATTTTTAGTGTTCTTCTATTCTAGACACCAGTTACATAGCAATAAATGAAGCAAATAAAAATATATTAAACATTTTTGGATGCAGGGGAAGAAATGTAAAGCATTGTGTCTACAATTCCCATTGGAATTTTAATTGATTTTATGTTGCTTTTATAGATTAATTTGGAAAGAACTGACATTTTAATACTGTCTTCACTTTTACAAACCTTGTATATCTTTCTCTTACTGAAATAAATCTAATTAATTTTAAAAAGTATTTTAATCAGTCCTCATATCCTCTCTAGAATACAATGCTTTCTCAGTAATTAATGAAACAGTAATTTGTCTCCTTTTTTCTGTGGTAATGCCTCTGATTCCAATTCTCCTTGCTGCTGTCCCTAGAACTATCAAAACAATGTCAAAAGGCAGTGCATTTTATTACTCACCTAAATGGTAATATTTCTATTTTATTAAGTGTGATGATTTGAAAATTATATACATATTATTATCTCATTAGTATTAATTTGCAATTTTGTTTAAAGTTCTTTAAGGAAAATCTCAAATTTATCATTTTAGCATTTATACAGATGAACATATTTTATAGTTCTTTTTCTTTTGACATATTTATATGACAAACAAAAGATTTCTGATTATTGTTCTGTCTTTACCTTTCGGCAGTACAATTTATTTTGTCATGGATTTGAATATTTTCTTATTTTCTGCATTTTCTGTAGCATTTTAAATTTATGATTCATAAGAAAAATTAGTTTGCTATTGAAAACTTTCATTTTATTACTATTAAATTATTCCTAATTTTTATTTTTGTTGTAATTTGACAATTTATACTTTCTTAAAAACATGTTTACTTAATTTAAAATTTTTAACTACTTTATCATAGTTATAACTATTATTCTAAAATTTTTGTTTTCTTTCTATTCCTATGTTTGTATGCTTGTGATTATTTTTCTATAAAATTATATTTTCCAGACTTTGACTATTTTACTTTAAAAAAAATAAAATATTGAATTTCTTTAGCAATTAAAATGTTTTTCATTTCCAAATTTATTAAAATTTGTCATTCTTGTTAACCTCTCCACCATGCTTTTCTTAATCTAGTTTTGTTGTTTTATTTCTAACTTCTTGACTTGAATGATTTTTAAAGTCAGTTCTTTCTTTAAATTATCAAAACATTGAGTCTATAAATGCACTTGTTTATACAGCTCTACCTTGATCCTAAAATTTAATAAGTGATATTATTGCTGTCATTGTTCTTTAAATGACATATAATTTTAATTTAGTCTTTCAAAAATTTACATAGAAGATTATTTCTGGGTACTCAAAATCTTCTGTTTCTTGGCTTAATATTTTTCTTTAATTCCCTTTAAGTTACACATAGAAAAGAACATCTTAATGAATTCTCTCAAAGTGAGTACACTTTTATAGTCTATACCTAGCTCAAGAAACAGCACAAGACCAGTTCCCCTTAAGCCCTGTCTAGCTACTTCTCCACTTTAAGGGTAACTACTATCCTGATTTTTAAAATATGTAGCTTAGTGTATTATTATAAGGCAAACACTTTTTTTATTGAAGTATAGTTGACATATAATATTATAGTAGTTTCAGGGGTACAACATAGTGACTCCACATTTATAAACATTACAAAGTAATCACCACAAAACTGGTAACCATCTGTCACCATGCAAAGTTATTACAATATTATTAATTGTATCC